ATGACTGTGCAGTTTTGTGTGTCAGTCCACCGTCTCCTCACCTTGCAGCCTTCACATGCATGCACTCCATAGTGGAAGCCTGAGGCCTTGTCTGAACAAACACGACACTCCAGGTTGAGACCTTCTTCAGGTTCTGGTGCAGCTCCACACACGGCCGACGATGGACTGGAGGCCGGAGTCAAGGTGCCTGCAGCGGCCGGAGGAGCGAGCGAGCGTTTAGACCAGGGGTGTCAAACTCGTGGTTCACAAGCCACGTAACACCTAAATAGGTGTCAATTGGGCTGGACCAGTACAAATATAACATGGTTAACTGTAAATAACAATAAGGCCGTGTTTTTCCCCTTTGTTTTCATGCAAACATAAAAACAAAAAGTGCAAGTGTATTAGATATTTATTATTAATTCATATTTAATTAAATATAATTCTGTAAAAAATATCCTGAACATTAAGTGTTTGTCTATTTTTTTTCATTTTCAAAATTCATTAAGTGGGCCAGATTGAACAACCTAGCGAGCCAGTTCTGGCCCCTGAGCCGTATGTTTGACAACCCTGGTTTAGACACAGGCATATGATGCATAAAATTAATTTTTTTACACATACGACAGCAGATAAAAATGGTAAGGAAGACTGAAAACATTCGAACTACGTTGTGTTGGATTTGCATCTAAATTATAAAAATGTCAATTGAAGCAGACACGCTGGAACTCCTCTGCAGGATCTACGTCGACCCCCTTAGGGGTTGCAGACCCCCTGTTGACGACCTCTGCATTACAGTGTTTCTCATTTTCCCCGCCACAAAGTCACGTGACTCTACTAACCCAGCGCTGTAGAACTCTCTGACCCTGAACCGTTGCTCTGGTATTCGGGGAAAACAAATCCCATTGACTGGGAGATGTCTGGAAGGTCCTCCATCAGCTCTCCACACAGAGGACTGTCCAGCAGGGAGTCCCCCAGGGGGGACGGAGGGCTGTAGAGGTCTCCTGCCATGGTGGAGGTGAAGTCGAGACTGGGCATGAAAACCTCCTCAGTCAGCCGACTGTTGGGAGAGAGGCGAGCACAGAGCACAGAAGTCAATGGTCAGTGATGGGTTCAATGACACTTGACCTGTCGCACACAAACACCACGTTAGCACACTGGTCTGTCACACACCTAAACCAACCATGTAAAAAAAAAAAAAACTTCTGGTTTCTCACTCACCATTTATCGTTAGCACACTGGTCTGTCACACACCTGAACCAACCGTGTAAAAAAAAAAAAAAAAAAAAAAATTTCTAGTTTCTCACTCACCATTTACTCTGTTCCTGTTTAGTTGAACATGATGCTGATATACTCACAGGAATTGAAGAAAGAAACAAAGATATTCTTCAACATTTCTAAGTAATTTGTCTAATCCTTAAACTAATCTAAAATACTAAACTTCACATTACAATGTATACTGCTAAGTTATATTTTTGTACTACTTTGTGACCACATAGTACAAATGGCCTAATGGCAATGATTGAGATGGATAGATATCTATTTATGTATTTCCGCAGAATGTTTCAAAACTAAACTAAACTAAACTGAACTGCTGTTTTTTAACCGCAGAATGTTTCAAAACTAAACTAAACTGAAGTGAAGTGAACTGCTGTTTTTTAACTTGATGATCTTAAAGTGATAATTAATAGAAAATGGTCAACGTCAGCATCAGCCTGAGGGGAAATGTGAACCTCGTCAACTTTGGCGTCCAGGCAGCGTCCTTATCTAGTCAACATTTCAGAGGACATGTCCTGACAGCATGCCAGGGTTGAGTAAAGGGGAAAGTATGTGCATCTATATGTGTATGTGTATGTGTGTATGTGTGTGTGTGTGTGTGTGTTGGTTTTTACCATACTGCTCAGACATTTTTTTCTTTCTGTGCATTTCTTGTTGTTTGAACACACACAGATAGGACCGTGTGACCTTGACTCAACAGCTGTTATTAACTATTCCACTGAGCCGCTCTGACACACAACACCTGCCCTCTGACAAAGTCGTCTCACCGCAGTCGGAGCGTGTAAGAGCAGACGGAATAAACAGGTTGTTCGCTTTAAAAACAGTCAAAACATTCTCATCTCTCCAACAATAATTACATGTTGTCATCGATTCATTATGAAGCAAATGGAAAAACCTCAAACGGCACCGACGACCTTAAATCCACAGAACCTGACTTCACCTGTGGTGAACTGGGCTCGTTTATGTAAGTCAAACTCAGTTAGGCAATCTCCCGACTCAGTGAGCATATGTACATACGTAGGTGAAACCTAGACTCAAAAAGTGGGTCGCATCTTGCTTTGTACGGAACCTAAATATATAGTTTATAAACACTGTATGATATAAATTACACACAAAAAGCTTTTATTTTTAGTTTTGTAGTTCTGGCTTTTTTTTTTTTCCTAGGCTAAAACTGTTGTTTTTAGCTAGTCGTTTTGCTATATAATGGCTAGCAATTTACATGGAACTGTTAGCTTTGTTTTAGACCTTTTGTTTTGACCAACTTTGAGTTCAATTTGCTATACTTTTGGACATCTTTGAAGTATTTATAAATATACCTTCAGTGTTTCCCACGGGATTTTACAATAAATTAGAGAAAAGGAGTTTATTATCTTTATTTTATTTTTATTTTTTATGGTCATATGCTGCTGCATTTTTCTGCAGAGGCCAAGGGAAACCTGGCTTCGTCACTTTGATTTATTTATTTTTAATCAGAATATAACCGTCATTAAATTTAAAAAAAATGTCGTCCTCCTGATGTGTAAAACAGCGCCCCTCTAAATGTTAGGTGTTGAACGAGCGTTGAAAACACGGTACTGCACTCTGATTGATTTTACTTCAGAGTGATTTCTCTAATCTGTTCTATGACAACATATTGTGTAATGGACAAATACGGTTCTGGAAGGCTAGCATGACAATTCTCTTCTACTCTGACTTTGACAAGAAATAATATTTATTTTAAAGTGTTCCTGCCATTTTTTAATTCAGACTCACTCATTTTAATTCTTTTAATAAACTCTCTAACTGCTAACTCAGCGCTTAGTTTTAAAGGTCAGGCAGAAAATAAAATGTGGACTCTAATCTGCAGCACAAGCCTATTGTTGTGGTTCACAATCATCTTCCTCTTTCATGGAGGACTGAGCTGCAGGCCCTGTTTCCACCACACCTCAAAGCACATTGTGTTTCCAGTCCCAGTGGATCTGGAAACTCAGACTGATCTATGTTTAGGTCAAAGGAGGAGAGGAAACACCGAGGGACGTCCGCAGCTCACAACACCACGCTCGCAGTGTCAGCGAGGGCACAGCAGAGCCGCAGCCAAACACGACACTCTCAAGTAAAGTTTGGTTTTTGTTCACCTGGCATATAAGATCCAGATCTGGTCAGTGACGAGGAGGTGAGGACGAGTGTGGCGGAGTCCTCGGCTGAGTCGGGATCAGCTGTCCAGACCTTTTCAGCACCTTTCATCTCTCCATGCGATCCTCTATGAGCCAGGCAGCCGAAAAATGAAACAAATAAAAATAAAAATAAGAAGTTAGAGAGGAAATCCCACAACTTCTCCAACAGCACGTGTGTATCTTCTTACAGTTTCTGCTGCTGCAGCTGATGGAACCATACTGACAGAAGAAGAAAAAAAAACAAATCCTCCAATAATGACAGTGACGCGCTGCTTGACAATGTGGGCGTTTATTAAGAAAGCAAGAGTTGGAGTTGAACGTCACTTACACAAACTCTACACTAACCTATGAGACACAGCTACCGTGAAATGACACAGACCACAGTCTGTGTGTATCTGTCACGTCATCTTATCTCTTTCCAGAATGCAGTCCCTCCGTTATCTGATGATTGATGTGTTTCCACTGATTCCAGCGACACGTTGGTCTGTTAACTCCGTGTTATCTCTGTCCTTTTTTTTTTGTCACACAAATCATTTGACTGGAGAAGCAGGATAAACATCTCAACGCCGATAATGAGTCAGTTTTATCGTACGATAACGAAATTCAAGACGACAAATTGACCAGGAAATGCAGCCAGACCTGGGCAAACTACGGCCCGTGGGCCAGATACGGCCTGCCGGGCTTTCTAATCTGGTCCACCAAACACTGGTACATGGTACGATACAAAAAGGACTGGCGTCGCCTTCTGTTTTGGGCATCGCAACGAATCTACTGTAATTTCCGTTGATGCCTCTAGATGCAGCCAAATTCTTAATCTGGTCCACCAAACACTGGTACAAGGTACGATACAATAAAGACTTGGCGTCGCCAAATTCTCTTGGAAAGTTTAGATTTATTTTGTACATTTTCACCCTCCAATCTACTTTCAAACAAATACTTAACTGGCCGGCTAGTCAAATTTTGAACTTCTAGTCACTAGACAAATAGCCTCCAGTCATAAGCTAACAACATTTACCCGAGCTAACACAACACGCCTTCTTTACTGTATCAGAGAACAACTACTCTGAGGAGAAGAAAATCTACTAGTTACGACGTTTACAAACGCAAAGGACATGTGCCCAGCATGAATCGGCGGCAGTAGCCGTAGCAACAGTTAGCATGGGGGCTAAAAACGTTATAGCTTGATTTCTGTAAAGCTTCAGGATGGAGTCAAGTTGTTTATTTATTTGTGAATACGGCCACTGTCACAGTGCAGACGTCAAATTGTTGTTTTTAGCATTTCTTAGCTTAGCTTAACACTTAAGAAGACGGCTACTTGACTGTCCTGATTTCAGTCACACTCGACTTTACTTAAATTACAATTTGGTCATAATTCTGGATGTCACTGGTCCGGTCTACAGTTGCTAGGACAGTCTGCTCTCTCAAATGTAAACTCCATACAGCCAGATTGACACAACAGGTCTGCAAACATCCAGAGAAAACTAACAGAACCTGTTTGTTAGTATGTAAACAACATCGCCTGGGAAATTCCATCCAACACTTCCACTGAAAGTTTATTATTGTATTTAAAATGGCCGCCTCACATACATGGAAAAAAAACAACACACTCGTGCACACACAGAAGGATCAATATTTCAACCAGTGACTTTCTCCCATGATAGGAAAGAGTACGAACCGCCTTTACACCTTTATATATGGCCTACAGTTAATTAACTATAATTAGCTGAAGCAAAAAATACCGCAGTTGTCCTCTCAGCCATATTTAGTGGTGCGTTCAAAGGTTTCCACAAGGATGTTTCCCTCTGTCTGTCTTTTCCCATTTCTTCTGTCAGGCGTAGGAATGTTACTGAGTCAAGACGTTTACTGTATCAGTGTAAATATTAGACACAGTATTAGGAATATTTTACTGTTTTAAGTTTTTTAAGGTCTACGGCAACGACAGTGTGTGCTGTGATAACGCACTAGACTGAATAACTGCTACTGTATTTGCTTTTCATGTACTGTACAGGAAGTTGGTCCAATATTTGGACCACGAGGTGGACAACTGGTGACCACTGTTGCCTTACAGAATAATTAGAAACCAGTTTGATTCCTGGTGGTAAACATGACGGTCTTTCTATCTCTGATGTCTGCCTCTCCACGTGACTATGGTAGGCTAATGAACTGTCAACCCCAGAACCACTCGCCCCAAGACTGCTGGGATATGCTCCAGCTCCCCAGTGACCCTGAAGAGGATTAGGTGATGGAAGATGAATGGATGTCACACATTCCAGCACCCAACACACACACACACACACCCCATACACAAGTAAAGTGAGGGGCATGTGAAGGTGTCATGAGATGACATTGGTATTAGAGACAGAGGAACACAAAACAATAACATTACGTTGTTAAACTACAGCTGTTCACTTGTTTCTTACTTGTTCATTATTGTTAAAAAGTCACTCTCCACTACAACGTTGTACTTTAAAAAAAAACTATTTCAACGTACATTAAACATGTATGTCACGTCAAAGCAGCGTGAAAACATCTACGGTTTGTAACGAACGTTTAACGAAACCGATCAGATTTAGAGTAAAACTCATGGATTTACCTCAGAGAGAAGCGGCCACGGCGTTTCATGAGACTGGTGCAAAACTGGACGTCAGTCTGTGGGAGCGTGCGTGCGTGCGCGTGATCGTCCAATATCAACCAAACACTGCACGCGCGCGCGCACGCAATCGGTCGGGTCCAGCTCGGCTCCGCCACAACCTTCCGTCGATCTCCGTCAACTAATCGTTGACACTCCACAGGAAGTGACGTCGCGATAGGGGGGAGACGTGACGTACACACCCCTCCTGACACACCTATGGTTGCAGCCAATGGCGGTGAGAGGACTTAAACGGACAGAGTCGCAGAAAATGTCAGGTCCTTATTAACGGTTAAAGTGGAAAAGTTGTTGCGGAGATAGCAGAGTTAGCATTTACTAGCATCACTTAGGAAGCTAATTATTTTACATTTAAATATGAAACATATACGTTTATTTAAAAAAATAGAACTTCATCAGTAGATCCGGAGCACAATTATGGTCCAAATTTGCACAAATGTAATAAAAAGTGAACTTTTACAGAACGATGTTTAATGATGTTGACCTTGGTAATTTGGGAGGAGGTTATGCAAAGAAACACGGTGTTAGCTGTCAGAATAAATCTCATCTGTAAGAGATTGTTTTAATTTTTTTGGCTCACTTTCCAAAAAAGCATTTAGTCAAAACCTTTATTAAAAAATATATTTTAACATGAGTTCCTTGACTGTGTGATTTTATCTGCGGTAGTTTGGGTTAACTGCTTGTTATTCTGCGTGGCAGCTGGCTGGAACACGAGGAAGTTGTTTTTCTTTTCGTCCGTTTTTGTCCAGTTTCCAACAAAATTGATTTATAATGGCGTTTGGCACAGATGTGATTCTTCCTGGCTTTAATTTTTCACTTCTTTTTTTTTTATTAGTGACATTGGTGACCAGACTTCAGGTAAGATTAATGGACACAGTGAACGACGACAGGTGTTTTGTTTTAGAGGGAGCAGAGGACAGAGTGAGATGAAGGTCAATTATTGTGAAGCAGGAGCCAAAAGATGATGAAAAAGTCTTCTGAACACTCTGAATCTGAATAAATGACACTCATTTGTATAATTCGAACCACGTTTTCCTGTAGTATAGATTTCTTTGACAGATATGATATATTTAGCATGGGATATTGGTGCCCTCTACTGTTCCATGTTGGGATAAGCACATTTTACTGCCTCTACTCCGAGATGAGGAACATTATGAGATGTTTCAAGAATATTTTTAATTTAAACAGGACATTTATCATTCTGTGGGTTTGACTGTTACACTGAGTACAACTACTACTAATACTACTACTAACATTTTTGTACTTGATCAAGTGAGTGAAGTGAGTTTAATGGTAAGTGATCGACATACCCACAGGACACATTTCTACTGCTGGTTAAAACTAGAAACTACAGATTAGTACTTTAACTCAATCCACTGAAGGATTAACAAGTAGTAAAAAAAACCTCTCTCTGAGAAAACTACGTGGTTTTACTGACCTTCCCTGGTATTTTTGAACAAATAAAAAATCAGACAGCAGTCATTATTTTTTGTTTACTTTTTTATTTAGTCTTTTTTGGGGGGAAAAAAACGATGAAACATTTAAATGCTTAAAAATTCTCTCTGTTCTGTAGCTGCTACAAATCTGGGACTCACCTTGAAGTAATGAAACTTGTCTTTGGTAGAAAAAAATATAATATAGCTATAACAAAATAAAATCTTCATCTTCTTCTTCTTCTTAACAGGTGAGTTTGTGATGCATTGCTGCCCTCCAGGGAAGGCAGTAGGTTGTATAGTTAGCTCCTGATGGGGTAAAATCACAACCCTGAAACCACACAACCTACTACCTCACCCTGTACGAACACCATAGGTCACCTGAGTGGGCTGTAGGACGATGGGCGGGAGGAGGAGGAGCGTGGTGTGACGTTTTAGGAATTAATCAGACAAAGATTCAGGCAGCCAATCAATTTACAGGAAAAACAAATATCCAGGTTCCCACTGAGAAACACTTCAAATCAACAATCAATATTATGCTAACTGTTGGAACAATCAATTAGAACGAGTCAATTACAGTCAATGATCGCCCCCTGGATGTAAGTGATGCGCACAACACAACTAAGCCACGAGGGCCAATCACAACAGGACAAACAACTCGGCGTGCTCAGAGTACTTTTAACGGGCCAATCACAACAGGACAAACAACTCTCAAACAAGTGCTCAGAGTACTTTTAAAGCCCAGCAGCCCCTGATACGTGGTCAAGTACAAAACATACATTTATTCAGATACATTAACTACAAATACTACTACAAATGTACTCACTTTTACTTCATACTCATCTCATCTAATCACTGAAATACAAACAAAGACAGCACAAAATGATTAGTATTTTTCTTTAAGGAGGTTCTAGTATTTTTTTACCAATAAATGAAGTGAAGGCACTCAAATGTACTTGATCTTAATTAAAGGTAAATTCCATTTATTTACATATATACAACAACAACAACAATACCAACATAAAGAACATAATAATTATTATATTTTTGTCACATTTGTGAGAGTGACTTCAGCGACGCCAACACGGTCGCTTCAGGAAAGACAGTAAGTTGTATAGTCATCTGACAGCTTGGGTATGACCCTAAAACTATACAACCTACTACCTCACCCCAAAGGACAGTAAATCTCCTGCAGGGGGCGCCTATGCCACACGGTAAACAATCGATCTGCCGGGAAACAGAAGGTCAAGACAACAAATCTTCACACTTTCCTGACTCAGAAAAACACATGGAAGAAAAAAAAAACTATAAAAACTGAACATGAACATCTTTATAATTCATACGTATAAAAGTAAAAACGTTTTTTTTTGTTTTCACACTTTCCTTGCTGATTGTTTTCTTTACGTGTGTTTTTTTTTTTTGTATCTCCTCTGCAGCAGTTTGGTAAATTAAAGTAATTTGACATGTACTTCTAATACTGTGTATTTACATGTAGTCTGTAATACTTCGTGCGGGACTCGTGCTTCACCTCATCACCTCCTCTCGTGACGCTCCATTGCGTCTCCTCTCCTTGGGTTTCTTTGTTCTGACGGGAGACAAACGAGAGAGGAGAAAGTGGGTGAGTGAGTGGGTGAGTCGTGGTCGGCCATTAAAGGTTCACACTCTCATCTCTGGTTTTACACCTGAGCATCATGTAACCACGACGTGCCAGCTCACCACTGCAGGTGTGTGTGTGTGTGGACACAGAGAAGGTGAAAGTGTCCTCGCTCTTCTATCATTAATGAGGATCCCGTCCACGGCCTCTGTTGGAACCTGACAGTTTGGCTGGCACCCTCATAGAAAAACATTTAGAAAAAAAAAACTAAAACTGAAAACCCTCTTCACCCACAGATCAGGTGAATTATGGTCTGTGAGGCTTCACCTGTGGCCTGTTAACGTGTCTCACAGGAAGTGTCGCTGCAGATGAGTGTAAATTCATCTGTCTGCGTGTGTTTGGCTAACAAGGTCAGACCAGAGGTCGTGGTCGTTTGAGGGAGTTTCCTGAGCGAGACGGCAGAGGCTGCGGTTTCCCCTTCAGCTCGGAGGGGTGGGCGAGGTGAGACGGGGGAGACGAGAGGGAGGGAGGTGGGCTCCATCTTATAAAAGTGACTCACTGCTTTAACTCTTCACACACACACACACACACACACACACGTACGCAGTAGTTTGTGGCTGTTTTATTGCAGGTGGGTTAGCCCGTAAACGCCACACAACTCTGCAGCTACTTCATGTCCAGGACTGTGAGATCCTCCTGACTCCTGCACTGCCCCGGATCAGGTTTACACTGGGGAGGGATTTTTTTCTTTCTACTAAAAGGTTCACGTGAGGCAAACCATAAAATTCTTCTTTTTTTTTTTTTTCAAAAAATATATATGTTATGACTAACTTCATGTCGGGAAATCTAAACACAGGTGAAGTTTTTAAAAATTAATTCACTTTGGTAAAAGTCCAGGTTGGACACACACACTTAACCCTGGGAAGCATAATATATATAAATATATATACACACATATAAATACAGATATGTATTTATATATATGTGACAGATTCCATCTTTAAATCCAACATCATATTCTCTCACTATTGATATGACAATATCTAAATTCTTTTAACATGAATTCCCATTCACCAACCTTTAG